TCGTGCATGTGGTCGCACGACTTGTCGCCGGCGAGCGACGCGTGGAGCGTCGTCAGCGAGTGGATGTCGCGGTACGCGGGCCCGTAGCTGTTCGTGCAGTTGTCGTCGCTGCGGCAGCTCCAGACGACCTCCATGGCGGAGAAGAAGGTCTCGCGGTCCTCGTCGGTCAGCGCGCGCATCTCGCGGCGCACGTAGCGGCAGAGGAGCAGCACCGTGTCGGCCGCGAGGAGCGCGCCCGCGGCGTCCGTCGCGGTCAGCGTCACGGGGTAGGACGACAGCTCGGGGAACGTCTTGACGACGTGGGACCCCTCCAAAGTGTCGTCGGCCGTGAAGGTCCAGGCGTACGTCGCGTCGTCGGGGCACGCCTCGCACGCGACGTAGAGCCGCGTCCGCTTGTAGGGCTCGACGATGTAGTCGTACTTGTTCGTCGTCATGAAGGGGTAGTGCTTCGCCGGCGCGCCGTAGAGGTCCGTGTAGTCGTCGCTCACGCGGATGCGCAGCTCGTAGTCCGTCGCCGCCGTCGCGTCGCCGGCGCCGCTCGAGCCGCTCGCGGGGTCCTCGTCGTAGGACGACACCGCGGACAGCGCGGCGGGCGCGGACACGCCGAGGGACGGCGCGGCGCCGTAGCGCAGGCCCGCGAGGCCGCCGAGCACGAGCGCCCCGCCGACGACGAGCCTCCGTCTCCGCGGCTCCTCGCGCCCGCCGTCGAGGGACGCCATCGCCGCGCCGCGCCGCGCCGCCGCCGGGATCGCCGCCGCGCGCCGGAACCGAGAAGGGCGCGTACACTCGCGGGCGGGACCACCGAGACCGCCGCCGCGCCCGACGGAGAACGCCGCGTCGGCCGACGACGAGGCGGGCAGCGTCGATCGCACTGTAATGTGGGGCACACTCTAATTTGCGCACCTGGTGGATACCTGAAGATTTGATGCTGCCCGGGTGCCGTCCTTCTCGCAGTCGACCAAAAAAAAATGCGACGATGCGCTTGATCGGGAGATCGTCGCCGTGAAGTAGAGCCCGGCGTGGACGACCTCCGAGCTCCGCGAGCTCACGCCCTCGCCGGCGCGCGGGCCGGCCTCGAGGCACACGACCTGATGATGCTCGCACGCTTCCTGGGCCTGCTGCTGGGCCTGCTGCCCCGCGCGGGCGGCGTCTACAGCGACCTGCCCGAGCGGCATCGCAAAATCGTGTCCGAGTTCCAGCTGCTCTTCTCGTCCAGCGGCGCGCGATCAAGCGACGGCCCCTGCGCGTCCGGCGAGTCCCTGCGCACGCCGGAGCTGGCCATCTGCTGCGACGGCCGATGCGCGGCCCTCTGCGCGGACGAGTGCGGCGCCTTCGACGAGGCTGGCGCCGGGCCGCGCGCCGTGAGCGCCTTCGAGGCCTGCTGCGCGCTTAAGGTCGTCGAGGACGGCCGCGCGTGCGCCGACGGCGGCGGCGCGCCGTGCTACGCGCGCGCGCCGCGGCGCGCCACGCCAGCGACCGTAGCGCCGCCCCCGGGCGCCGTCCACGTGGCCATCGCCGCGGGGGGGCGCCACGGCATCGGCCTCGTCGCCGCCGCGCGCTCCGTCGTCGACGCGGCCGCGGACCCGGCGGCCCTGCGGCTCCACCTCGTCACGGACGCGCCGCCGGCGTCGCCGGCCTGGGACGTGCTTACGGAGCGCCCTCGACTGCGCGCTCGGCGAGAGCGCGCGCTTCGACGTCGCGGCCATCGACCGCAACTTCGTCCGGCGGCACTCGGCCGTCGTCGCGCGGGTCCTGGACCACCGCCGCGAGGCGCCCATGACGCTGACGGCCCAGCGGCTGCGGTCCGCGCCCGTCAACTACGCGCGCTTCTTCCTCGAGGAGCTCTTCCCCGACCTCGCGGGGGAACGAGTGGCGTACCTCGACCCGGACGTGCTGGTGAACGCGGACCTCGCGGGGTTGCTCGCGGCGGCCTTCGCCGGCGCCTCGGTCCTCGAGGCCAACGAGCGGCGCTACCCGAAAGAGCCCGTCGTGGAATTCCGGCCGCCGCCGGCGCTCGCGGCGACCAAGAAAAACACGCGCAACCGCGTCATGGACGACCTCTACGCGGCGTCCGGCGCGGCGCCGCGCCGCGTCTCTGAGTTCAACGCGGGCGTCGCCGTCTACGACCTCGCGCGCTGGCGGGCCCAGGGCCTCACGCGCGCCGCGGAGGCGTGGATTGCGCGAAGCCTCGAGCCCGACGCGAACGCGTCGCTCAGTGACCACCCGACGCAGACGCCGATGACGCTCGCCGTCGCGTCGAACTACGTCCCCCTCGCGCCGACGTGGAACTGCCCCATCCACACGGGCCACGGCCGCGACGAGGCGCTCCACGCCGCCGACGAGTGCCTCGCGGACGTCGCGGTCCGCCACTTCACGGGCACGCGGAAGCCCTGGTACCCCTTCGGCCGCCTCCGCTTCCTCTGGCTCCCCGTCGTCCACCCGCACCGCGCCTGCTTCCCCGCCATCGCCAACGAGTCCCGCTCCGCGCCGATCCTGTAATTTACAGATGCAACTTGCAGGTCAAGCTGAAGGACTTCGAGAGCAATGGAGGCGCAGTCGGAGGCGCATTCTTGCGCAATAGCGGCCGTCGACCGGGAGAACGAGCCGCAACTTGCAGTTCAAGAGGACAAGTTCTTCGTCGGAGAGCATGGTTGCGAGTTCTCGCACCCGTGCGCAATAGCAGCGACCAGGTTCTCACACCCGTGCGCAATAGCAGCGACCAGGTTCTCGCACCGGTGCGCAATATAAAGGCGACCAGGTCCAGCACCTATGACGACCGTGTACGAGTTCCTCGCGCGCGAGATCGCGCGCGAGTTCGTCGCGTCGCTGCCGTCGCTCGGCGTCATGGTCGTCGCCATGCTGCTGCAGGCCTTCGTCGTGCCGCTGCGGAGCGCGCGGCTGCTCGACGACGTCGCGTGTGAAACCGAGCAGTGCGGCGCCGGCGACCCCATCGCGTCGACGCTCCTGCGCATCGCCGCGTGCCAGGCCGTCGCCGTCGCGTGCCGCGCCGCGGAGCGGCGGCTCTCGGAGGCGCGCGCGCAGCGGACGCGGTGCCGCCTGCGGACGCGGCTGTTCGCGCGCGTGCTCCGCCTCGACGACGCCTGCGCCGAGGAGCTGCGCGTCGGCGAGCTCGCGCACGCGCTGCGCGAGCCCGGCGCGGCCTGGGTCGTCTCCGAGGCCGTCGGCGCGGCGGTCCGGGGCCTCGTGCCGCTCGTCGGCGGCGGCGCCGCCATGTACGCCGCGGACGCGCGGCTCGCGTGCGTCGCGCTGGGCACGGCGCCCCTGCTCTTCCTCGTGACGAAGGTTCGGGGCCGCCTCGCCAAGGCCTTCGCGAAGACGGCGAACGAGCGCGAGGCCGCCGCGCTCGCGCGCGCGGCGGAGGCGCTGGCGAACCGGTCGACCGTGCGGAGCCACGGCGCCGAGGCCCTCGAGGCGGCGGGCTTCGCGACGCTCGTCGACGGCATGATGGACGCCCACGGCGCGTGCCTCCGCAGGGACGTTGGCCTCGGCGCGGCCGCGGAGCTCGTCGCCGCCGCGGGCGAGCTCGCGCTGCTCGCCGCGGCCGCGCGGCGGCGCGCCGCGGGCGGCCTGACTTTAGGCGGCTACGCGGCCTTCCGCGCGGCGCTGCTCCAGTACCAGCGCGGCCTCCGCGACGCGACGAAGTGCGCGAACAAGGTCGCGTCCGGTTTGGGCGCCGCGGAGCGCTACGTGTCGCTCTCGACGGCCTACGCGTCGTCGATCCTCGACGGCGCAGCGACGGCGCCGTCGCCGCCGGGCCCGCCGGAGGTGCGCTTCGAGGACGTGCGCTTCGCCTACGGGTCCGCGCCCGCGGACGCGGTCGCGGGCGTCGACCTCGTCTGCCGCGCGGGAGCGACGACGGCGCTCGTCGGGCCGAGCGGCTCGGGCAAGTCGAGCCTCGGCGGCCTGCTCCTGCGGCTCCGCGACCCGCGGAGCGGATCCGTGCGCGTCGGGGGCGTCGACCTCCGCCGGCTCGACGTCGTCGCGCACCGGCGCCGCGTCGGCGTCGTCCTCCAGGAGCCGTGCCTCTTCGACCGCACGCTGCGGGAGAACGTGGGCTACGGCCTCGACCCGCCGCCGTCCCTGAAACGCGTCCGCGCGGCGGCGCGGGCCGCGGGCGTCGACGGCGTCGTCGCCGCGATGCCGGACGGCTGGGAGACGCTCGCCGGCGAGGGCGCGACGCGGCTCTCGGGCGGCGAGAAGCAGCGCGTCGCCATCGCGCGGGCCCTCGTCCGCGAGCCCGACCTGCTGCTGCTCGACGAGGCGACGTCGGCGCTCGACGCCGAGTCCGAGGCCGTCGTGCTGGCGGCGCTCGACGCGGCGGCCGCGGGACGCACGGCGCTCGTCATCGCGCACCGCCTCGCCACGGTGCGGCGCGCCGACGCCATCGCGGTCCTCGTCGCCGGCGCCGTCGTCGAGCGGGGGGACCACGACGCGCTCGTGGCGCTGGGCGGGGTCTACGCGGACCTCGTGTCGAAGCAGGGCCTCGAGCGCCGCGGCGGCGACGCGCCGCTGCGGAGGCCGCCGGCGCCGCACGCGGTCCCGGGCGACGCGTCCGACGACGACTCGTCCTTCGACGACGAGGGGCTTTTGTAAGGGTGATGTTTATTTTGCGGTGCTCCGAACGGTAGCTCGGGAGGACGTAACGTGTCACAGGCTAGGATGTCGCGAAGGCCACAGAAAACCCCCGGCGCGCGCGCCTCAACCTGAGTTGGCTCGCGAACCGAACACTCGCAATCTTCGTCGCCGAGGTGCTGTGCGGCGTCCGCAATCTGCCGAGAGCTTCATTCGCGCCGTAATTCACTTCAGTGATCCGTACGATCGTCCTCACCGCGCGGGGGGCGAAATCGCGCACGAAACGCGGCTCGAGAAGAGAAATTCGGATCGAAATCTTCGGCGCTTGGTTCTGCTCGAGCGCCGCGGTTGCCACCGTCCCGCTTCGGCCTCGAGCCCCCCTGCGGCCCGCAACCGCCGATCGATCGAGCGGGGGCGAGATCGGCCCCGAAAGCGGCGAGCACGCGACCGCGACCGTCGCGGAAACCCGACTTTCACCGTCGACGTCGGTCGGACGCGCGCGGAACGTGCGATCGAGCCGAACCCCGCAGGTCCCGCACCGTCTCGATCCCCGCATCGACGTCTGGCGCGAGTGTCATTCCACGCGACGAGATTGGCGGCGTCGATCGCGCGCGGAGAAGTTCGGCGGAAGATTTGAGGCGAATGGCCGAGATGACGAACGGCCGGAAGGCGACGTCGTTCATGCGCCAGCTCGTCAAGATGATCACCGAGTGCGACGAGATCCACTTCGACGGCGGCACGCTCATCATCCCGTCGCCGGCGGAGCTCGAGAAGCGGCTGCCCGACTACTACCGCACGGCCAAGCTCGCGAGCTTCCAGCGGCAGCTGAACAACTTCGGCTACCACCGCTCGAACGTGCCCCCCGAGCCCCTCGCGCCGTTCCCGAACGCCGTGCGGTACCGCAAGGTCACGGGCGGCGAGACCGTGACGACGGTCGAGGGCCTGCTCTCGCTCCGGCCGCTCGCGCCAGTGTGGATTCCAACCACTGGTTTGGGGGGTCCCCACCAAACTTCAGAACTCTCTATCTCGGTCAAATCGAAGTCGATTCGGCTGATTTTTGGACGAATCGATTGCTCTCGTCGAGTTCTCGAAGCACAGCGAAAAAGTCTGGTCCAAATCGTTCGATTACACGCACATTGAACTCGGGTTGAAGATTTGGAATCTACACAGGCTCGCGCGGCGGAAGCGCGACCGCGAGTACGAGCTGCCGCCGGCGGCGCCCCCCGCGGCGGCCTACGGCGCCTGGCCCCGCGGCGGCGGCGGCGCCTACGGCGGGCCCCCGCCGCCCGTGCCCCTCGCGGCGCGCGCGGTGACCGTGTCCGGCTCGGGCTCGCCGGTGAGTCCCGGGCCCGACCAGGGCCTCGTCTGGAACCCGCCGAAGATGTCGCCGAAGCGGCCGCGGACCCAGTCCGACGCGGACAACGCGCTCCTCCTGCTCTCCGTCATCAACAACCGCGACACCGAGGACGCGGCCATCGCCGAGGACGCGGCCATCGCGGAGCCCGTCTCCGTGTGAGCGCCTAGAGTGAGCGCCCGCTCGCCCGCGCCGCCCCCCGCCCGCCGCCCGCGACGGCGCGCCCCGGATGTAATGCGACCTCGTGACTCGCGGCGTTTAACATATCCCGCCGGCGATAGCCCGCCGGCGGGATATGTTAGCGGCGGGCCTACTTCGGGACGTACGTCTCGGGCCGGCGCTGGTCGAGGAGCCGCATGGACGCGCGCGTCGCGTCGACCTTGGCGAGGTCGAGGTCGGCGAAGATGACGTCCTCGTGGTGGCCGTCGACGGCCGCGACGGGCGCGCCCCAGGGGTCGACGACGACGGAGTAGCCGTAGGCCTGGTAGTCGCTCTCCGGGTTCCGCGCGGGGCTCGCGGCGACGACGTAGGCCTGGGCGTCGAGGGCGCGGGCGCGCGCGAGGAGCTGGTAGTGGGGCGGGCCCGTGACCGTGTTGAACGCGCCCGGGTAGACGAGAACCGTCGCGCCCTTGGCGCGCATCGATATCGCGAGCTCGGCGAAGCGCATGTCGTAGCAGATGGCGACGCCGAGCGCGCCGCCGCCGAGGGCCGCGGGCAGGGGCGCGACCGTGGCCTCGTCGCCCGCCGCGAGCGTCTCGGACTCGAAGAAGCGGATGCGGCCGGGCACGTCGATGTCGAAGAGGTGCACCTTGCGGTGCTTCGCGACGACGGACCCGTCGGGCGCGACGACCGGCGCCGTGTTGTAGACGCGGCCGTCGGCGCCGAGCTCCGGGACGCTGCCGCCGACGATGTGGACGCCGCGGTCCCGAGCGACGCGGCGCAGGAGCTCGACGGACGGGCCGTCGGACCCGCCCGAGCCGGGCTCCGCGATCGGCTCCGCGTGCGCGCGGAACTGGTCCACGGCGTAGGGCGAGTTCCAGACCTCGGGCAGGACGACGAGCTGCGCGCCGCCGTCGCAGGCGCGCTCGAGCAGGCCCGCGCAGCGCGCGAGGTTCGCCGCCTTGTCGCCGCCGACGAGCATCTGCACCACGGCGACGCGCAGCGTCGCGGGCTGCGGCGCCGCCGCTTTGCTCGACGACGAGTGCGCGTGCGCCAGCAGCGGCGTCGCCGCCAGCACGGCGCGCGGCAGGCGCGCGAGCAGCATCGCGATTGCGGCGCGAGCTGGGCGGAAGTTGCACTTCAATGAACCGCGCGCCGGGCGAGCATGATGATCTTTGTGATTTTGATGTTTTTTTTTTATGAGCGAGTCGCGTCGACGCCATCCAGCGGTGATCCAAGAGCGGTCGCGACGGGGCAAGGACTCGGCATGTTAGCTCTCAATCTGGACCGCGCGCGCGAGCTCTCCTCGAGAACGGTTGCCCTCTATGTACAAATGCGTATAACGGATTCTCAACGGACCACGTATGATGTCATAGAAGTCGGGCGCGAGGTGAAGTTAAGTTGAAGTTGCGGTTTTGCCAATATATAAAATTGTTATAGTCAAAAATTAATTTGAATGTTATAGAATTAGTGCTGTCTAACGGATTCTCAACGGACCGAGAATTGCTCGGATCGCCCACTGTTTCCCTCGAGTCCTGGCTCGGCATCGACGATCACGGTTTGCGGCGCTCTGTTTGAGCGCACGGTACGCGTCGGCGTCTGCAGGGCGCAGGCGAGGCCGAGGCCGAGCAGGAGATCCTTGAGTACACGACCCATCAGGCGACCCATAAGTGTACGATTATTTTGCCACGTGAACCGCTCGCCCAAAAATTTATTTGGCAAACAAAATCAAAATGCGGCTTCCGCCCACACTGGGCCACAGTGTGCAAATTACCCCGCTTCGGATGCGTGTCTCCTCATCGGCTCGAGGACGAGGTCCACGGTCTTCGCGCGGAGGAGCTCGTAGAAGAAGTGGAGGATGTTTTTGACCTCGAGGCAGTAGGTCAGGATGATCTGGACCTCGCCCAGGAAGCCGCCGCCGAGGTCGACGTTGACGTGGAGGTCCGGCGGCTGCGAGACCTCGTCCTGCTTGTGCCTACCAAGCACGCCGGTAACGATCTTTCATCGTTTTCCCGGTCACAACCTCTCGAAAATCGTCGCGGCCGCAGGACGCTGGCTCGTGCTTGTTCTTCACCGCGACCACGGGGAACGTCTCGCGGAGCCCGGCGAGGAAGAGCGCGCAGACGTAGGGGCAGTGGCACTCGACGGTGCACCGGTTGAGGTCCTTGAGGCTCCCGAGGGGCTTCTCGAGCGCGCGCCCGAGGCTCTTCGGCGGCCCGAACTTGAGGCGCAGCGGCGCCGCGCCGAGGGCGGTCCCCGCGTCCCTGTGGTCCAGGGGCCAGGCCGCCGGATCGAGGCCCAGCGTCGCCGCGAGCGCCGCCGTCGACGACGCGCCGTTGAAGGCCGCGACGAGCGCCGTGGCGCGGGAACGGAACGCGCCGTCGACGCGGGCCGCGCGCGCGAGGAGCAGGCGGACGCGCGCGACGTCGCCCGTCGCCGCCGCGTCCGCCGTCGCCGGCAGCGGCAGGACCTGGGCCGGCGCGGCGCCCTCGCGCGCGGGCACGCGATTCAAGAAACGGTATCGTTCGCCGAGGAGCCGGTAGGCGTCCATGACCCGCGCCAGGAGCGCCGCGAGCCGCCCGCTCTCGGCCTCGGCGATGGCCTTGAGGTCGCGGAACGCCGCGTCGGCGTCGGCCGCCGCCCCGGCGAAAAGCGCGGCGAGCGCGCGCGCCTGCAGCTCGTCGACGCGCGCGGCGAGCGCGTCGTCGCGCACGCGGCCGATGGCTTTCCGCGCGTCCTCGAAGGCCGCGAGCGTCCTTCGGTCCGCCTCGCGGATCGCGTCGCCGAGCGACCGCGCGACGACGGAGACGAGCCGGCCCGCCGCGTCCCAGGAGACCTCGAGCACGCGCACCTCGGACGCGCGGAAGACGGCCTCGAGCGCGCCGCCCGCGGCGTCGAGCGCCGGCCGGAGCACGCCGTCGATCATCGCCTTGAGGAAGAAGCGGTGCGCGACGAGGAGCACGCTCGCCTCGTCGAGCGTCCGGACCCAGTCGACGACGCGCCGCGCGCG